AAAGGGGGGCGGAGAAACGGCTCTCGGTGGACGCGGCGCGCGACCCCAAGCGGCGTTGAAGTGTGCCTCATCTGCGTTTATCTGTGGTACGGTATGGTATATGTGGTCCTGTTGTTTTGTCTATTATGGTCATTTTGCGACATTGGCGTGGTATCGAACACTCTGTGCGTGGACATTGTGAGAAGTACTGTCGCAGTGAGCTGAAGTAGTCGGTACCGCCCGACTACTTGAGTGCAACCGGTACCGCCCGGTTGTGAGAGTTAAGGGAACGGTACCGCCCGTTCTCTCGTGGTAGCCCCGTCGAGTGCGAACTTGTGGTCAGATTCTAGTCTTTCTTGTAGTCAGCTCCCTGTCTACTCGTCGTCCAGTGGCTGTCCATTCGTCCTCCCCCTGATCTTGGTAAGTGTTTTTTTTTGGTCGTCTTTGTTCCGATTGTCCTGTGTGTCTGTTCTTGACATCCTTATGTTAATCTTGTTCCGGTTTTGGTAATGTGTTAGGTACTTGTTAGCACGTCTGGTATACCCCTTTCAGCTGAACAGTTTTGGTCTGCCTCTAAGTGCTTCACAGTGAAGCAAAGGTGCTTTGGACGGGCCTTGCTTCACTTGAACTGCTTAGGCAGACTCTGTATAGTGTACAGCTAATTTTGTTTCTCGGGACTATAGGCCATCGATGGCCTCGACGTCCTCTCCCAGAAAGCGTCCGAAACCCGCCGCTATTAGGGCATTAGCCATGAAAACGCACCGTTCCGGAGACAGCGAATGCTGTGTTTTGGCATCTATAGTCCCCTACTTGGCGGCCCGCCGGGATTAATATATTAAGTACATAGACAAGTTACATGACATAGGCAAGTGAAAATAGACAACATATACAAACGTGACAAGTAAGTTTATGATAGGTTTATGTATGTACTGAATAGCTAGGTGTAGTTAGCTGATTCATTAAGTCTTTAAGTATATAATAACCATGTAACATGCTGCAACATGCACACACCGGTCCACACTGCCATCAGCTTTTTTGCTCTCACGGTGCAACCAGCACCCGGTCATCGCCGACCTTCGGAAGGCACAAGCCGACCGAACATCGGCGATCTTTACAAAAACCTGGTTTCCCTGACCGAAAGCAGATTTCGGCCCAGGGATTCAAACACGGAGACGATGCACCAGTGCTCGCCAGAAGGCATCAAGCGGAAGCTGAGCCACAGCTCCCCCACGATCGAGCCTTCCAGCAGAACCACATCCTATCGTGCGATGCATGTGCCCGGCCTGATCTGGCACTTCTGGCCCGCGGATGCACATCTGATCGAAAATGCCAAACACCTTGTGGAAATGGCTTCGGCTTCGCCAAATCTCATGGGCCACACTGGCCTCGAAGGCCAGCATGAAGCTGATCGGCGATTCGTTTCACATGCTTGTGGTTCCGCTCATGCGTGAAACATGCACCAGAAGCTGGAATCTCTTCAGCATCAGGGGCAGGTGCATGGTCATGTGAAACTTCGGAGTCACCGGATCCTCGCCGTAAGTCTTCACAAACTGCTCGCAGTGAGCTTGTGGACCAGAGCTTGCAACTTCTGTGGCTGCAGTGTCTCGCCCCAGTTTCCAAGGACGAGATAGTCCAGCACAGCACACAGGTTGGGACAGGATCTGGCCTCCTCTGTCATCCTTGCGAGGATGTCTGGCTTGCTCATGAAGAACAAGCGCAGCAGAGGGTACAAACACAAGCAGGTGCTTGCTGCAGGCTTGAAATCGCCTGGGCTGATCTTCTTGGACGTGAACATGCCCATCACCTCCTTCTTCTTCCAAGCATCAGCTTTGGGAAATTGCATGCCGTCACAGAAGTCGTGCAGCTGCGTGCTCGGAATCTTTAAAGCGACCATTCGGGAAAGGATGCAGTTGATTTCTGCATGAGCTACTCCATGCACCAAATAAATGTGCATCCAGTCGCACATGCAACTGGATGCTCCTAAGCCCCAAGCATCGAGTTGCGAGAGTCCCAACTGCGAGGTGTGCTGCAGCCTGGAACAATGCTGCAGATCGTGAGGAAATCATCGGAATCTCCCTCTGTCCGCTTGCTGATAACATTGCACAAAAGGTGCGTGGGACAGCGCCCGATGCCCCTTTCGTATCTAGCATGTGTTTGAAGGCACTTTCATGCCAGCAAAACAGCTGGCTTGCCGAAAAACATTCGGCTGTCCTTGGCTTCTTCACAGGATGCAATCTTTAAGATACATAGATACGAACCATTCAATGTCTAAACTCTAAACTCTTACAAAGCAGCAAACATAGGTATCAATGAAATGCCCTGCAAAAAAGCTTCGGCTCCTGGAAAAGGAGGAGACCAGTCTCCAAGTTGCGCACGCCACGAAATGGATGTTGCACAAGCTTGGCTGTCACTGCTGACAATCCCCCTTCTACTTGATTCACCACGTTGCTCCGGATCATAAGCATTGGTGCCCAAAGTTCTTCGTGGAGGTATTCTTGGCCGTATTCAAGGCATGCCATGTACCAGACCTGTATCTTCCGGGTATTGTTGCCTTTGAGCTCATTACCCGCCGATACTTCGTCGTTGTAGATTGCCGCCCGCCATACTTGGTTGGGCGACGGGGGAATTCTGAAGTCATCCTATCAATATCAGTGGGATTGAGGCTCCGGCAGTGGCGCTGGCCAGGGTCAGCGAAGCAGCTGTGAGTGATGGCCTGGACGGCATTGCTTTAGGAAGTGCTGCCCGGATTAGCCCGGCCAACGCTGAAAGATCAGCTCATCGCTTGTTTGGGCGGTGGGGCCTCAGCCTTAAAGTCCAAATGACGAAAATACCTGTGAGCAACGGCAATGTCCATTTGAAGGTTCCAGTGTTACTGCCATCCGCTTGGGTGAAATGTCTCCTGGAGTCCTATCCATCAGCCCTTTTTGGAGGTTGCAAGCTGGACCAGGCTCCCCTCAAGTGCAGCAGCTTCTGGAAAGGGCTATATCAATCACAAAGCACCCACGCAGTATTCGAACGTTTCAAGCCGGAAGAGCTACAATATGTTCTACCTCTTCTTCTGCATGGGGATGAAGGAACAGGCTCTAAGAAACAGCCAATAGCCATTGGCTGCTGCGAATCGGTTTTCGGTATAGAGGATGATGAAACTCGTGCCAAAACCAAAAGGCGAAAGTTTTCGGACTGCAACCAATCGTGTGCCACTGAACCAATCAGAGGTGCCTGCTGTCAGCTGCCTGATCATTGGCCGCCTGTGGGCAAGGGCAAGGGTTTGGATTGGTCGCAGTGTGATCTGTCGGAGCTTATGTGTCAGTGGCATGCCACTTCAGGTCATTCTTTCTTGGCGCGATATCTCAACTATGTGATACCTACTGCTTGGTTGGATCTCGGGCAATTTGTTCTTGATGGTGTGCAAAAGGCTGTTGCTGATGATTTGTGCCAGTTATTCGAGCATGGTTTGAATGTCAACCACCAGAAATACTTCGTGGC